TCTCCGAAACGCACCCAAATGCCGCCTCCTGCGCTGAAAATGACTAAAATCCCGGTTTAAGATACCTGTCGCGCTCCCGCGAGCACGGAAAAACGTTTATTCCACCCGCGGCCTGGGACCCGGCGGTGCCGGGCTCGTGCGCCGTCCGTGCGGACGGGCAGGGGGGCGGGCTCGGCGCTGCCGGCCTGAGGCCGCCCGTGGGAGCCGTGTCTTTGGCGTGGGGCTCGATTGCCGGGTGGCCTTTGCACCAAAACGGGGGGCTTCCTTCTTGATTTGTGCCTCCGGCTCTGCTGCAGCGAGAGAAGCAGCCATGGGGAGGAAGGCAGAGGTGCCTCTCAAGTGTAACACGTCCCCAGATGTGTTCACATCTGTCCCCATCCCTGTCACGACATGTTGCGTGCAGCGGTTTACAGCCTTCCTTCTCCTCTCGTTCTTTTCAGGCTAACGCAGGTGAGGTGGAGTCGCTACAACCCCAGTTTCTTAGAGCCAGAAGTGAACAAGGAATTGTATAAGAAACCTTGGGAGGAGCTGTCTGAGGAGGAAAAGGAAGAACTGGAGCTTAAGGCTGTTCAGCCCATAAAAGCTGCTCCTCCCAGTGTCTCCTGCTCTGTGTTCAGCGACCCTATGGTCAGGTCAGAGAAAGCATCATCTCCTTGTCTCTTACAGCTGGGTCCCATGGAGCCAAAATGCTTGGGAGCCATGCCGTGCTCCTCAGCCTTCCCTGGCTATGCTGCACGTTACAGCACGATCCCTTTATTCGGGTTAATCTTTTCCCACAAAGCCAGTCCATTGACTGGCAGTGATTTGAGATAATTACAGCAGATCTAGCAGCACCCAGACCTAACTGTGGGAACAACGCAAGGTGGGGGGTTATTTCTGTGAGTGATAAAATCAGAATTTAAATCAGATCATGTTTGGCTTTGTGTTTACAGTAAATTCACCAATATGATGATGAAGAATGGTAATAAAGTGCTGGCCAGAAGCCTCATGAGTCAGGTGAGAACTCATGTTTCTTCTCACTATTATGTTAAAACAATGCAAAATGGAAGGCTGAGACGTCAAGCCCACTGGAATTAGGAGTCATCAGAACTCAGGTCATCTCTGCAGTCATAATGCGTTTACCTCTGCACACACGTTACTCTCACCATTATTCATCTGACCAGATGTACATTTTGTATAAGCCCCAGCCCCATTCAGCTCACAGACCAGGTGGTGATGGCTCAACAGAGAACAGTCTTTTCACTCTTCACTATCTCTTGGACCTTACGTACTGCATAAACTCAAGAGTATACACTTGAAAGCACAATTTTCTCAAAAGATCTTCTGTCCAGCTCTCTTCATGCCTTGTCTTCTGTCCAGCTCTCTTCATGCCTTGTCTTCTCTATAACTTGCCAATGATGTCCCACAAATGTGTCACCTGTATGACACAGCTTTGACCCCTGCTCTGACCTGCAGTTACAGATATTAGCCAGTGGTCCCATCTGGTGTGTTCCAGCCCTTGAAACGGGGACACACTTTGTCCAAATGTTCCCCAAGCAACTGCTGATTCCTTGTGACAGCAAAAACATGCAGTTTGGGCTCCTGAGTCCAGGCTTTGGAGGGGAGGATGCTTAGTGCACACAGACCTGTATTCCTGTCTCTGCTTTGTCCCTACCCTGCCCTGGCTCCTGGCCCTGGTCTGTTCTGCTCAGCCTCATCACCCCAAATGCAATGTCTGATAAAGAGACTGAAGAGCTGGAAGAGGGTGAAGTAAAACTTAAGAGAATCCCTGACTGGCCTGTTGTCTACAGGCTAGAAAACCATCTGCAGGCTCAAGTGAAAATGGGGTGTTTGTGAAAATGATGTAATTGCATGGAGCGGGATAATCCATCTACTCTGCATGTCTCCTTTCTTGTCTTTGTCCCAAGACTCTAGAGGCCATTAAGAGGAAGCAGCTGGAGAAGTACCACAAAGCTCCAGAAGATGAGAAGGAGGCAATTGAATGCAACCCTTATGTCATTTTCCACAAGGCTCTGAAAAACTGCCAGCCCATCATTGGGCTCAGCAACATCACAAGAGGAGGCAAAACCTACCAGGTGAAGGGGGAGTGTAGCCTGGGAGCACATCTGGTCAGAAGAAAATTAGCTAGGGAAGCAGATGAACTGGTTTCCACTCTTTCAGCTCGAGCTTTCCTCTCCTTGGAAAGGAAATTTTGCAATCTGGATTAAAACAGCACCTCTGTCCAAGACCAGGACCCCAGCCCATGAGCATGGTAATTCCCATCAGCAGCCATCTCTGCTTCTCTGACTAGATTAGAAGAGGGTACGCAGCAAACGTCCAAGGAGACAGAGATCAGTGACGGGCAGCAAAACAATCAGCAGTCCCATCCTCTCTGCTGCATTGCCTTGCTCGGGTAGAGACCCCACAGTCCTGGCGAGGGTCAGCGTAGCAGAAAAGATGAACTAGATACAGTGCAGTATTTGAAACACAAGCAGAACCTGTCTCTTAAGTGTGGGCTCTGCAACACTCAAGGCCTGATGGAGACATGAGATGTGGAGGTGTTTCTCTGTCATTCAGTGCAGGGGAGTGGTGACCATCTCCCACTTCTGCTAGCACAAACCAGCCTGGATCTGGATCCCCAATAGGCCAGGAGTCCTTACAAAGGCCAGTGTCTGCCAGCAGTACCCAGAATTTCCATTTTGAAAGAAGTGGCCATATTATATGGACAGAGGAGGTAAAATGACACAGGTCAGCTGCTGGGAGCTGGTCTTGCTGCAGAGAGCAGCATGCTGCCACTGGAGTCACAGCACCGTGTAAATCTATGTGTGTCCAGCTGGACCTATATGACTTGGAGCACAGTGGGTTACTGCACTTTTGCGGGGTAGTAACTGTCACGATTTAAACCTTTCCCAGGTCCCAGTCCCTCTGAAGGACAATCGGAAGCGCTTCCTGGCCATGAAGTGGTTAATCACCGAGTGCAGGGAGAACAAGAACCGTCGCACACTGATGCCTGAGAAGCTCTCCCAGGAGCTGCTCCAGGCCTTCAACAATGAAGGGCCCATCATCAAGAAGAAGCACGTGCTGCATAAGATGGCAGAGGCCAACCGGGCTTATGCCCACTTCCGCTGGTGGTAGGGACTCTGTGCACGGGAAACGATGCCACCAGCCCTGCCGCCTGGAGAGCAGAGCCCCAGGGCTGCCTGCCTGGGAGAAGCTGGGAGAAGAGGGAAAGGTGGAAGATCCCTTCCGGACAGCTTCTCAACTAAGCCAGGGATGGCCCCTCCAATCCCCACAAAGTTAACTTCCCTTGTGCTTGTTTGGATGGGGGAAGGGGAATCTGAAAGAGCTACCGACCCCTGCACAGATGCTCCAGTTATTTCATCATCACTTCCCTGGGAAGACAAGCCTTAGATGTTTTTCTTAGAGCAACGCTGTACAAAATAATCTTCCACTTACCAGTTTCAAAGAGACTTTTAAGTCTCTCTGCGCCTGTAATCAGCAATGTTTTTGGCTGCACAGCTAAGAGCAGAGCTGGATTTTTTTCCATAATGTAACCAGCCTTGGCATGATTGGTACAAAAGGCAATAAAAGGCCCTTTTTGATTTTTTGGTTCTGGTCATCAGCAACATTGTCTGCACAGATTTGATGGGAATCTTAACAGAAAAAAATAAAACCAGTTTTATGGGGAAGGTTTCTTGATTCCAAACATTTGTCTCTGTTGCTTGAATTTCACACTACTCCTTCCAGCTACTCCAGCTGTGTAGAGCCACGCTGACACCCTACACCAGAGAAGAAAATGAGTATCACGGCCCTAAGGATTCAGTCAGGAGCAACCTTTAAGTATTTTTCGTAGCTCAGCAGCTGCGGTGAGAAAAAGCAGGGCACATGTTAGTGGAAAACTTTTATTAGAAAAAGATCCTTCAATAGACTATTTTGTTTTCTTTCTTCCTCTCCCATTCTTATAAGAAACATACCATAGTTGAAACTCACTAAATTCTGAAAAAACATGACAGTTATTGTATAAAACTTATAAAAACTGTCCTAGCTGCGTGTGTGCAGGGACCTGTCCTGCTGCAGGCTGCCCAGTGGCAGGTGTTGGTGGCTCGTGACCCGTGGGGGAGGCTGTGTTGCATGCAGGTGCAGCCCGTGTGCTGGCAGGAGCCTGGGGAAAATAGCGCTTGGTTGAGCTGTTTGTGAGGCCACGTGTTTCCTGTGACTTGTCCCAGAGAACCAGGTACAACCTGAGCTGTGACGGATTTCGGATTTCCCCTCTGTCTCCCACGGCTCTGCTGTCTCTCGGGTGCACCGAAATGCTTGCAGCCTAAACTGTGCTTGCCGTAACACCCATATGAAATGCTGGTTTGGGCTAGAAGCTTTCCTTGCCCTTTGCTGGCAGCAGTCCTACGTTAGACAAAATCAGTGGGAGAACTTGCTGGGTTAAACGTGCCCTGCCGTTCCCACCTCTCCAACCTCCAAAGTCAGGCTAGCACCAGTTGCAGCCTGATAGTTATGTGCTCAGAGGCTCTAGCCAGTATAAATCCTATTTACAAGAAGTGCTAGAAAAACATTAACGTGAAAAGAAATTCCAACTTGGTATGAAGCCTGCTGGTGAAAGTGCTGGGGACATCTCTCCACCTCTGCTGCAGAGAGGTTAATCCGTCACTTCACTGTAATAGTATTTCTGGGCAGCGTCCGTCATCTTCCAGTCGGCAGCCCGAAACTCGATGATCTCCAGCAGCAGGAGCTGAGACAGGGAGCTGAGTCCCTCCTGCAGAAGGAAGCCATCTCGGAGGAGGGAGAAGAGCTCATCCATCCGCTGGGAGTTCATCTTCTCCAGCTGCTCACCGATGCGATGGAGCTGTAGGACCAAGCAGTCAACCTTCGGAAGGAAGGGAAGAAGATGGCTGAGTGCAAAAGACTGGGGAGCTTTGGCACATCTCTGTGGAGGTCCTCATCAGTCACTTATGGACCAACTTGTCCTGTTCCCTCTGTTCTGGATTTCTAACAGGTCATAGTTCTGCTTCCCCCAAGTTGCTGTGATCCAGGAGACAGGATAAGCTGAATGTCTCTTCTGCCAAAAGCACTGGAAAAGCATATCCTGAAATCCCCTGTCTCTCAGACAAAATTGCCAGAGAAACGCACCCACAAAAAGTGGAAAATGCTCCAGAAGAGCCTTCTCCAGCCCGTGGGGTCTGGCACAGCATCGATGCCGCAGGCCCGGGGGGTGAGTGGCAGCTACACAAAAGCATTGCACAGCACGTCCCGGGACCTGCGGGGACACAGAGCGGCACTGCACACCTGCGGTCACTGCCACCACCTCCCACGGCTGCGGGACCTCGGCAGGTCAGTGTCACAGCTGCTTTTCCAGCTGTCCGGCAACCAGGGCTGCTGGAAAAGCAGCTGGTTTCTGTGAAAACAGGGAAGAGTCATCGTCTGGGTTTTTCTTGCATGATGGGAGGTGAATCTGTGTAACACTGGACAGCTCCTGCTTCAAGGGACCGTCGGGCTGCTGGGTCTCCAGTGACGACACTCGGGCAATAGGGAGAAAAGCTGCCCTGGGCCAGGGAGTCACGACCAGGACCTCCATCCTGCTTCCTTCTGGGCTGCAAACCCTGCTGCCCAGCGGGTCTCCTTCCAGCACGTACTGGGGAGGCAGCTTTCCTCTGCACCAGGATGTGGACACCGCAACCCCCCCTAGACTGTTTGAGTGGTAGAACACTGGAACAGGTTGCCCAGAGAGGTGGTGGATGCTCCATCCCTGGAGACGTTCAAGGCCAGGTTGGACAAGGCCCTGAGCAACCTGATCTAGTTGGAGATATCCCTGTTCCTTGCAGGGGGGTTGGACTAGATGACCTTTGAAGGTCCCTTCCAGCCCTAACCATTCTATGATTCTATGATTCTAGACTGTGCTTTTTGCTGGTCCTTTCAGGACAACCGGTGCATTAGCAGCCTTCTTCCTTGCACTCACCTCTTCCTCCTTCCGCAGGCTGTCAGGCTGTGCCAGCCGGAACAGACAGTCGTAAACGGGGTTCACCAGAGCCATCATGGGCATGTTGTTTACCTGTAAGGAGGCAGGAGCCCTTCTCAGCTTGGAGTCAGAAAGGGAGGAGTCTGCAGCTATTTGAAATAGTTGTTCCCTTGCTGCTCTTCAAAGGAGAAAGGAGCAGAATTTAGTTGTGCTGCCAAACACTCTATTGGTGGGATTTACATAGGAGACCAGACATTCGAGTCTCCAAGAGCCAGAGAAGCTGAAGAAATGATGCAAAACATCTATTTTTAAATGTAAGTAGGTAGTCATGGGAAATAGTTGCAACAGCGTTTTTCCTGCCTGCAGCTCTACTTGCATCATTTTTACATCTACTCCAAGCAGGCATCCAAGCACACACACTGCAGCGAAGGCTTGAAGACAAACTCCATCAGCACATGGGCTAGAAATGATGTGAGCACCCACAGGTCCCCCCAGGACCTCATACCAATCAAACTAGTTCGATCTGGGACATTTGGGAGCAGGCAGATGAAAGGATTTCAAACACCAGGTACAAAATGAAGAAGCTCAGACTTTGTGACTGTTCCCAGAGATGGCTCTGCCTCTCCAAGCCTGTTCGCCTGCTCGTAGTAGCACCAGCCCCGGCAGCATCCTCGTGCAGAGAACTGGCTCTGGCCCCCACTGCCGAGCCACGGCCCTGGGGCTCCATGCAACACCCATCTGACACTCCTGCCCTGGTGTCTGTGAACACCCAGGCCCTTCTGGCACCCCTAGGTGCTCCCGCTCCAGCTCCTTACTCTCAAGTAGTCAAAGATGTTGCAGATGAAGGTGACGTAGCAGATCCATGCCTGGAGCGAGCGGGTGCGCAGCTCCTCCCTGTCCTTGTACTCCTGCTGCAGCCGGCTCA